CGCCAGAAGCCACCAGAAGCTGGAAGAGGCAGGCAACGGGATCCTCCCCTAGAGTTTTTGGAGGGAATATGGCCCCGCTGACAAATTGATTTTAGACTTCTGACCTACAGAACTGGAGGGGAATAAATTTCTGTTGTTTTAAGTCACCGAGTTTGTGGTAATTCATTACAACAGCCCCAGGAAGGTCATTCATCCAGTTTCCACATCTCTAAAATTAAAAGATTGGGATCTTATTAACAATAAGTCCTTCTCCAGATCTTTAATTTTAAGAAGGTCATTTTCAGACCCTGGAAAATAAGCAAAATAGCTTTAAGACTGTCATCCTATCTGACAACCTCACAGGATGTTGTTTGCCTGGGAATGCCCCTAAATATGTAAATGAGAAGTGTTGCAACCCCAAGTGCCCCTTTACCAGGGATCACTGTGTTAGAAAGTTGGATGCGAAAGTGTCCTCCCAAAGGTGGACTTGTCCTCTGCAGTCTCTGTGTTGTCACCTGGACCAGTCCAGATCCTTCTTCTGTTCCTTCAGTGGGCCCAGAGCTGTGGCATATCAAAAACAAAGCATTAACCACAGTAGCCATCAAGAAGTGTGAATCCAAACAGAATATAGCTCTGTTTCAAGGACCAGCTCTCATGGTTCCAGGCCATGAGCTGAAGCCCCCAAATATGGGATGTCCGTCTCATCACAGCAGAAAAAGTATAGTATAAATATTAGGATTCTCTAAGAGTGTTCTACCCTTCACCCTACACTGATCTTGGGAGCACGGGGATCCAGAGCGAAGAGTGACTTTGGCCACTAGAGCTCTGGTTCTGAGGTAGAATTGAAAGAGAACTGTTTTTCTTTAGCCCCATTTGCATATTCAAACAAAAACTCAGTGTGCCCTGATCCACAGATGCTTCCCTGCCTGGTATCCAAAGCTAAAACACATCCACTCCAGCCAGCCAAGTTTTTGTGTCTCATTCCTGTATACAAACCTACTGCCTGTCCAATCCTGCTTTTGATGAAACAAGTGGGTCCAATAAATTGTGACACACCATGAGATGGAATACTGCTCAGGCATTGCTATGGTCTAAATGTTCGTGTCCCCCACAATTTACACGTTGAAATCCTAACCCTCAAGGTGATGGCATTAGGAGGTGAGACATTTTGGGAGGTGTTAGGTCATGAGGGTAGAGTCCTCATGAATGGGATTAGTGCCCTTATAAAATAGGCCCCAGAGAAGCCCTCTTCCCCTCTACCATGTGAGGACACATCATGAAGGCGCCATCTATGAACCAGGAAACAGGTGCTCGCCAGACACTGAATCTGCCAGCACCTTGATCTTGGACTTCCCAGCCTCTGGAACTGTGAGAAATAAATCTCTGTTGTTTATAAGCTACCCAGTCTATACTATTTTGTTGTAGCAGCCCAAATAGACTAAGACAGCAATTAAAAACCATTTTAGAAGGATGTTTAATGAAATGGGAAAATAGTCCATCTATGCCATTAAATGGTCCCAATTTGAGATTTAAAAAGTAAATATAAACGTATATATGTATACAAAAACTTCTTGGTAAAAAGGATGTCAGAAAATCTGACCCAATATGTTAATAGCAGTCTTCTCTCGGTAGAGAGATTATGAGTAGTATATACCTTCTTCTATGTCTTTTTCTGTATTTTCTAAATTTTCCACAATGGGCACATGCAATTTCTATCAATAATATTATTTCAGTACTACATATTGATATTCATGCATATGAAAATAGTCCATCTATGCCATTAAATGGTCCCAATTTGAGATTTAAAAAGTAAATATAAACATATATATGTATACAAAAACTTCTTGGTAAAAAGGATGTCAGAAAATCTGACCCAATATGTTAATAGCAGTCTTCTCTCAGTAGAGAGATTATGAGTAGTATATACCTTCTTCTATGTCTTTTTCTGTATTTTCCAAATTTTCCACAATGGGCACATGCAATTTCTATCAATAATATTATTTCAGTACTACAGATTGATATTCATGCATACGAACATACAAAATTAGACAGAGTAGCACTGCCTGGGTTGGGGCATGCATCCAAGAGAACCTAGTCTCAAGCAAGAATCCTGTCCTGCTTATGCCCGAGGCTGCCAGAGGAGCTAAGGACGGACTTGAGGAAAACTCAGAAGAGAAGTTTGTAAGGACCACTGCAAGTATGAACCTGGTTGGAATAACTTAAATTAGCCTCTATCATTTCATAGTTAATAACTGGAATTTAGAGCCTGCCAATATGGCCAGCTTCGGGCATGCATCCAAGAGAACCTAGTCTCAAGCAAGAATCCTGTCCTGCTTATGCCCGAGGCTGCCAGAGGAGCTAAGGACGGACTTGAGGAAAACTCAGAAGAGAAGTTTGTAAGGACCACTGCAAGTATGAACCTGGCTGGAATAACTTAAATTAGCCTCTATCATTTCATAGTTAATGGCTGGAATTTAGAGCCTGCCAATATGGCCAGCTTCGTCCCTGCCATGAAGCTCTCTCACCCCTTCATTCTATTGATGGTTTTAGCTTCTTTCCTGCCCAGAGTGCTGTGAAACAAACACTAAGTCAAGGACAATGGAGAACAGATTCAAGCTTTCCTCACCTGCCTTTAATACGCTGTCCCAGCATATTGTAGGTACGAGAACTCATTTTGGAATATAGCAGAAAGAGATGGGGGGAAAATGTAGCTGTCCCAGCATATTGTAGGTACGAGAACTCATTTTGGAATATAGCAGAAAGAGATGGGGGAAAAACGTATATATATGTTTTATACATACATACATATATATCTATGTATATATATTTATGTCTGTGTGTATACACACACATACATACACACAAAAGGCAGAATATCTCAATTCTTCCCATTCCATTCTATTGGTGTCTAAGTGAAAAATTTTTTAAATGAATTAGATATACATGTGTTCCAGGCGCTTCAAGGAGCCTGATCCTTGTTTATTGCTTTGGAAACTACGGCTAGAAATGTTTGACTATTAAGAAGCAATGCTTACAAGGCTCTAGTGCCACCTGGTGGTGAGTTCTTAGAAATAGCTATTTTTGTTCCTTAGAGTATTTCAAAGGATTTCAACAAGATCAATATATCGGGAATGGAACGAGGGTAGCAAACAGAAAGCAGAAGTAATATGGGCCTATCAACAGCATGAATACAACTATTTTTAAACAAATTTAATAGAAATTAGTTCTCAAAGTGTAATTCCTAGACCAGCAGAATCAGCATCACCAGGGAACTTATTAAAAACGCAAATTCTCAGGCCCTGTCACAAACCTGCTGAAGTAAAGACTCTGAGGGTGGGGTCCAGAAATTTGCATTTTAACAAAACCATCAGGTGAGTCTGATGTTTCATTCTCAAGATCGAGAACACTGCTTTGAACAATAAGACAAACAGCTTTTCCTGATAAAAGTCCCACTTCTAGGTCCCCCAGGACCAACCAGCAATCCTAAGGAGAAACAGGTCTACAAAAGCCATTTCCTACCGTGCAGTGATGAGTGGGAGCTCCGCGCCACACCCTGCCAGCCAGGAGCTTACGTTGTAGACTGAAGACGATCCCACTACAGAGATCGATTCCACCAGATTCCCGCCTGGGCGAGCTGTTCCAGAACCGGCTTGAGAAACTAGAGACCAGGGATCCAATTATTATCAAGAACTCAAGATGGGAGGCGCTGTTATTCAGATCTCAGTGCACACTTAAAGTGTGACTCCTACCTACCTGCTGCCATAAACACCAAAGGGACAGGAGGTGGAAGGACCCACCCTTCAGTTTAGCATCAAAAGGAAAATGCAAGGTCATTGTTTAAGGAGATGAAGATTGATTCCTTAGCAAAGTTTAACAAGCCAAACATCACTCCCCATGCTCTCGGAGGCAGCCCTGCACAGATCATCTACTGCAGTGTACACTGCCACCTTTTCCTCCTTCCCTTCCCACAGCTCCTGGCAACTCTAGGGATGTACAGCCGATCCTCCTTAGAAACACTGAACACCCAAGGCACAAACTGGGGGTACTTGATTGTTTATCCACAGTGAAGAGTCAGCGCATGTGCAGAAAGAGTGTAAAAGAGAGACCGCTGTTCACATCTGGATTTTTCCACTTCTGTTGGGTAACCACTTAGCTAGTCAACATAATCTCCCTAAGGAGATTTTTCATTTCATTCAGTTTTCTCATTTGTAAAGTAGGGATCATGGCATGCATGATTGATAGCAATGACCAGTACAATATATTTTAATATCCCTTTCCCCTCCTACTAGGCACTGGGTAAAAGACAGCTTCTTCCCCAAGACTGGTCATAATTGAGACTTTAAAGAATTCAGGGGTAACACCTTTGTCTTAATCATCTTTGAATGCCCAGTGTTTAGTGTAACACGAGGCACAGTGCAGGTGCTCAATAAATGATAGTTCGCTCAGCTGGGTAGGGAGTCACCGAAGGTCTGGATCAGATGTCAACGATAGATGAGTTCCAATCTCCCCCACATCCCAGCTGTGTGAATTGGGGCAGAATAATCAGTCCCTTTTAGTCTTAGTTTCCTCATCTGTAGAGTGGGGATAAGAGAATCATCTCATGAGCCTCAGAGAACAAATGAGAAATAAATGGAAGCTATCACTACATGAAAAGAACTTTCATAGAAGACATTAGGTGGGGAAATATAAAAAAGTGTTAAATTGGTCAGATGTATTACATACAATTAACTTTGAATATTGAGCCCAATTTTGCAGGGTTTATGTTAACACTAAATAATCCTCAAGTCATTGCCAACAGGATAACTCAACAAAGTGGGAAGCAGACTGTTTCACCCAAGCCAACCCAGTCTTCTTTATGTCTCCACCTCCTCACCTCACCTCACATCACCTTTATAACTCCAGATACACAGAAGATATGGTAGCAAAGAGGTGGGGGCAGTGAGAAAGGGCTCTGGATCCTTGGCTTCAAAGCTTTGGAGGGGCAGGATGGCATTTAAGTGAGAGAAAAGAGAAAGTGAAACAGCACCTATTATCCAGTACTGTTTCAACCAGTGAAAAAACTTTCTCTTTTATGAAGGGCAGCAGAGCAGAGGATTTAAAAGGTGTTCAAGAAATTTATCAGTCAATCTATCAATAATAACAACCATAATGTTTAGTGGTTCGAGTGTGTGAAATACTGATCCTCTCTGCCCCCTGGAAATCCAGACAACACTTGGGGTCACCAAAGGCCCCCAGCCAGTTGTCTTAGGCCTCACCAAGTCCAGGTGGACACCCCAGCATGCCGTGTGAATCATGTCATTTTCTAAGTGTGCCAGAACATGGACAGGATTTGAAACGATGAGCAATGACCCAGTATGACCTAGATGCTCCAAAATACTTAAACCACTGAAACATATGAGGTGGAATTTTTTTATTTTTTTTTTTTTACTAAGTTTCCATTTTAATTTTTTTACTGAAACATAATCGATTGTACATATCTGTGAGGTACAACATTGAATAAAGAGATGGAATTTTGATGAGTGTCAAAGATGATGTAATTTCAGGGCTGATAGAGAGTTCTCTTGCCACCTACCCCCAGGCTCCCTGGCCCTCAGCTCTACAGTTTTTAGGCAAAAGACTAAAGAGTTGCACATTTTCGGGCTGGCCCGGTGGCGCACTGCTACAGTGCGCCGCTTGGGAGCGCGGTGGTGCTCCCGCCGAGGGTTCGGATCCCACATACAGACTGGTTCCCGCTCAC